AAAGGCCTATCAAAGCCTTTGACACTGACATTTCTCAAGGGATCAGGGTGCACAAGGTAATTGGTCCTCCTACACCTTGGGGTCTAGAAGCACTCAGCTCCCAGGAGGGCTCAGACTCTTGTGCCTCCTTCTCACCACTCCCCCATGGGCTTCATTCCACTACCCTAGTGGCTGTCCTTCCTTTCTGCAGCCCCAGGGTAAAAAAGTAGGATGTGGGGTTAATTGACTGGAAGCCTTTCCCTTGAAGCAGCACTGTCCTCCAAGCTGGGTCTTCTCCAGGCTGGCATTCGGTGGCCTGGCAGCCACAGCCCTTGGGGACCTCAGTGCCTGGGAGCTGTCAATGCTTTCCACTCACTTACCCTTTGTTAATTGCAGAATGCACAGATTACAGGGTAGCACTTTCCAATGCAGGGCCTGTTCCTGGCTCCTTTGCCACTTGGCAGCTTGCAGACAGCTGTGCAAAACAGCAAGGAGCTTTGTCGTTCGGTGCCAGTGTCACAGAGTCTGGAACCCTGTTTCTATTTTCCCTCTTCTGTTGTTTTTTTTTTCCAATATCCAACCGAGGACTCCGTTTTGCTCATTTCTCCCTGTACTCTCCTCTCTCTCTCTCTCTCTCTCTCCCTCTCTCTCTCTCTCTCTCTCTGCCTCATCTTTCAAGTTAGGGGCTCTTTGGATGCCCCCACCCTCCTAGAGATCAAAAAAGTGAAACTTCCCACTCTGCCAGGGGCCTGTAGCCAGACAGAAGTGATTGAATCCTCCCGTCCAAATGGGAAGGGGTAGGTGAAGAGATTAAATCATCTTGTGCGCTGACCCTCCACTCTGGGGTTGGCCAGTCTGAGGGCCTGGGACCTCCCAAAAGGCCCAGGTGGGCGGGGAGCTGCCTGCAGGTAATTGAAGGAGAATGAGGACAGCAGCCAGCAGCCCTGCTGGGATAGCGACAGCCAGCCCCTTCTCCACCCACCACAGCTTGAAAACCACATCCAGCCACAGAGTAGGTAGCTGCAGAGTTGGGGGGGCGGGCAGTATCTCGGGATCCTTAACTCTATGAAAGGCCTCAGAAAGTGCGGTTCTCAGGTGTCCTCATTGGACAGGAAACACGGGATGGCAGCTAGAAGTGGAGTCTACTGAGGTAGCAAGAGTCTACACACCTGCTGTGTGCAAGCATCCAGGGCTACCAAGAGGACAGGCTGCAGTCCCTGCCCACCAGGGGACAAGCCCTCTGCTCTTGAGCGGGTCCCTTGGGGTTGATGCTCTTTGCCCTGCCCATGTCGGGATTTTTTGAGCTCTATTGGTGGAATAGGATCCTGGAGAACAACCACAAAAATCTTGTTGGAAATGGAACCAAACAGTGGGTGGAGACAGACCCTCACCCTGCACACCAGCTTCCGGTACTGTACTGTTGACCTGAGACTAATAAGTCAGAACGACTTCCGTAAGACTGTGTCTCCCTGACCCTGAAGTGGGGGTGCAGGGTCCCCAAATCAAGCCCTGACTTTTCTTAAATATCTCATATGCCAGTTCCAAATCCATTTGACAAAGAAGCAGTGGGTGCCTTGTGTTCTATAAATGCAGAAATTCCCTGAAGTGTCTGACGTCCTTCTCTGCAATGATTCTCTGAATCATTTGTGCCTATTCCTATGACAGTTGTGTGTCTACTTAGCACCCTACACACTCATACACACACGTGCACACACACATACATGCACACATAGGCAAATGCACGCACATGCACTTGAGACCAACTTCTAAGAAAAAGGAGCAACTACTGCTCTTACATCCGGAGAATGTAGCGGTTGGCCCCACTGAGCAATTTTCCACCCTTCCTTTGTGTCTTGCTAGGAGGGTCGTGGGTATCGGACTCCCCATCCCCAGAGGATGCTGATGAGGAAAGAATTGCCTTCCCAAGGCCATCTGATCCCAGACACATACGAGAGCCCAGAATGCTTTCCCAGCCATCACTAGCCAGACACCTCGGGTGCCCCTGTCCTACCATCCTGAAAACCCCATCCTTGACTTTTCTGTGTTCATGAAGCTCAGAAACCCAACCGCATCTATGCTGTTTGTAATTTTCATAATTATTTCCTTTTTTAACCTGAGCATTTGACAAGTTCCTTTTAGAAATGTCAACCTGTCTTTAGCTACAGTGAGGGAGAGGAGGTCGCCTGGGCTAGGCTCGTTTTAAAGGGGAGCTCGTACACCTGGAGGCCAGCAGGGACAGGTGGAGGCTGTGCATGGAGGGTAGGAAGCACAAGGTGTACGAAGCTCTTGGCAGGCCCGGCCTCCTGCAGGTTCTTCTCCCCTCTCTGCCCACCCTGGCAGGTGTGGTGTCTGCTCCTGGTCACCAGGCTCCTACCCTGACCCCTGCAAGGGCCTTTCCTGGCCCAGCCTCCTGGCTGGTGCTAACAACTGTTAACTTCCCCACTCACCTCCTGAAACTGAATTTCTTCCAACTCCCAAGAGTTCCTGCTTGCTAAGGCTGTCACAGGTAGATGTGATTTTCTAACCCACAAAGATATTTTCGGAAAGCTGGTATGGAATGAGGGGCACTGTTTCCACTGCAATCCCAGCTCTCCAGGTAATAGCTGTGTGTATTTTAGGAACTGTTTTGTTTCGGTTGGTGCTGGAGATTGAACTCAGGTCCTCACGCATGCTAAGCACCAGTTGTACCACAAAGCCACACCTCCAGCCTGTATCTGTGTCATGGAAAAGCCCGGGATGGCACTGTGGGACGAGAGGCTTGGGCCCTTCAGCCAGCAGGTTCTGGGGGTCTCTGGGTCTGCAGCCCCTTCCTCCCTAAGCTTCCTAGGGTTCACGAACTCACTGCTCAGGTGGCTTGGGACAATTACTTTGACGGCTCCAGATCCCAACTTTCTCACCCTTTAGAATTTTGTTTCTTTTCCATGTGTTGATTCTGTGGTAGAAATTTCAGTACGGTCCAGTGAGGGAAGGTTTATGGCCAAAGAAAGCTGAGCTACCAATCCTCACCCCAGTCGTGGTAAATCACAGCCACACTGTCCACTTGCCATGTGGGGGCCTCTGCCATGGGGTCCTCCCCTAATACACCTACCAGCAGGCACCAGCATCTGTCCACAGGGACAGGAGTGGAGTGGCCCCATGAGCCCAACCCAAGGGCTAGCGAGCAGCCTTTGCCAAGCAGCCCCAGTGAGTGAGAAGACGCTCCCAGGGTGCAGGAGGAGGCCCCCCACCCTGCAAGCTACAAGTCAGACTTTCCACAGGGCCCAGCTCTGGCTCTACGCAAGCTGCTCCCTGACCCCACAGCCCCAGCAGCCCCCTGGCGGCCTCCCTGGCCTCACTCAGAGGAGAGACACTGGTTCATCACCCTGGGCGGGACCCAAGCCTGTGGGGAATTGAGAAGAAACAGCCAGCCCAGGTTGCTATTGTTTGATTCCAACAAACCACTGGCTGGGCCAATTTGGAGAGGAATGAGGGGGAGGCTGAGGAACACGGAGTGGGTGAGGCTGGGCTGGGCTTCCCTGGGCCTGGCCCTAGCTCTCTCCATCTTGCTACAGTGGCCAGAAGAGTTATTTTGGGAAAGTGGCTGCTTGGACCCTGTTGGGTCCTGACCTCTCTTGAAAGGGCTAGGTGTTATCAGGAGGGTCCTGGTGGCCCCAGCCCATGACCCTCACCCTAGGGCCCTGCCTCTCAGCTCCTGGCCAGCTCCAGGCCTAACACCAGCCCTGGACAATGTCAGGCCCCAAACCAGGGAAGTTGAAAGACTGCACCACCGAGAGAAGAGCTAGGCAGGGCTGGGTTGCACACAGCTGTATGGGTGGGGCCCCGGAGACACCCAAACACGGATGGGGGTGGGGGGGCAGGGTGGGAGGAGAGGAGACCTTGCCTGCACAGGCTGGACCAAACGAAGTATGGAGAGGCCTGTTCTCCTAGCCTCCTGCCCTCTGTCCCCACCCAAAGGTACCAAGACCCACAGAAACAAGCCTGAGGATGGGATTCCAGCAAGGGAGGCCCAAGGTGAAGACAGCAGATGAGCTGCGGCCTAAAGGGGAAGCGGTCAGGGGGATTCTGGGAGGGGTGAATGGGAGTCAGAGGTTGGATCCCACCTCCCGCCAGCCCCATGCCCCCCATGCTCCAGAGGGGCCTCCCATTTCCTTCTCAAGGCGGCTCCCGGACCCCCATGAGTACCTCCAGGAGACAAGGGGCAGAAGTTGCCCCAGGAAGAGTGGAAAGGGGGCCAGGGCACAGTTAGGTGTTGGCAGAATCAATTAAGAGCCATGCTAATCACCATCATTAAGACTATAAAACCCCACACCTAGGGGCCGCAGGGCTCGCTGGCTTGGCCTGGGGCCCTGAGCTATGGCACAGACCCAGGGGCCTGGCTCCAGTCCCTTTCACCTGAGCATCTCCCAGTCCTGCACAAACAGTGATTAGCACCTGCCCCCCGGGAGTGCCTCATTATCCCACAGACACCAAGCGGAGGAGAGGAGGGAGGGGAGGGAGAGAAGGAGGGAAACTGAGGCCAAAGAAACTGCCTAGAGCTTGTGGGCTGAGTGAGGCGGTCCAGCCCCTCCTGCCCTCCCTTTCCCTCTGGCTGTCCAGATGGCCACGGACCTACAGTGCTAAAGGCTCCAAAGACAGCAGGAGAGGGTGGGCCAGCCGGCAAGCTCCTAGGACAGTGTGGCCCCGTCCCATGAACAGTTACATCTTGTGCCCAGCCTCGGGGTGCAGACGTGGTCCTGGGGAAGTCCCTTGGGAAGGGTCTTCTCAGGGAACCCTAGCGGTCAGGCATCTGCCCTCCACCTCCAGGCCACCCTCAGACACCCTCTGTCTGCATTCTCCCCCCAGGGCCCCTGACGCACCCCTTCCAAAGCCCCATAGGCTGTCTCCCTCCCAGGAGTGACCATGACCCCCTCCACCCTGCTCCCAGAGTGAGGAGCTCAGCAGACCCGTGGGGACTGAAGTGCGGGGGGTCAGCTTTCATTGCCCCGGTAGTGAGCCCTGGCCCTGCCTGTCTCTCATTTCAGGGTGCCGACCTGCAGAAAGGGAAGATTAAGGGCCAGGAGTTACCAGGTGGGTAAAGACCTTCCAACGCCCATCCCTCGGTCTGGGCCTTAGTGATAGTCCTAGGTGTCACAGTGACATGACTTCCTGGTGCTGCCTGGCAGCGTGTGAACACCACCCAAGAGGTCACCTGTGTGCTCTTGATGTCATCTGCACAGCTGTCTCGTGAGGTTGCTAACACCCAGGTCTCCATTTTAAAGAATGAACCAAGGCACAGGCGAACCTGCCCCTTGTCACACAGCTAGTAAGGGACAGAGTTAGAACACGGGGGTCTGTCTCACTGGGGAGCAGTGGTCACCTCGGAGGCCCTGCCCTGTGCCCTTCCTTCCCTGCAAGGTCTCCACCCCCAAGGTGCACCCTGGGCTCTACTGGGAGGGGCTGCTGGGCCTGGGCGTTCACACATGACTCCGAAGAAATGGTCTCACGGACTGTGGAGCCACATGGGCTCAGGTGCCTCATAGGCCTGGGTTCAAATCCCAGCTCTGCTACTTCCAAGGGTCCTGGCTTCACCTCTCATCACCCCAGTTTCTTCAGCCAGAAAATGGAACTCATGTCCACATGGAGAAGCTGGCCAGAGAGGCGTCCAAAGTGTGTGTGCCCCTCAGCCCCCCAGTCGGCTTCTGGAGGTTTTGAGTGGGGGCTTCTTCAGGAAGGCCCTCCTGAGAGGGGCAAAGTCTCCATCTTCCCTGTGGAGAAATCCACAATGACGGAGAGCCGTGGGTTCTAACTTGAGACCTGTCCACACAGAATCCTGGTCACCTGCTGCTGGCAGTGTAGAATATGTGCGCCTCAGGGACACTCAGCCACCCCCACCCCCCCGTGCCCACCAGCCTGCCTGTCACACCTGCCCTCCACACACCCAGGCACATGCAGAGACCCTGGAAAGTTTCATGCTTTCTCTGAACTGGCAGCAAGTGTGAACTCACACACACTGACACAGGGCCTCCTACGTAGCCTCAGCATTTGGCACACTGGTTCTTCCCATATGCACACCTGCCCCAGTGAGGACCCCAAGCCACACAAACTCACAGCTCTGGCACAACTGCTCTGTTCTCTCTGAGCGCACACACACACACACACACACTCTCACACACACACACTCCAATCGCGATGGGAAAGATGAACAGTCAGGAATTCCCCTGGCTCTTGGCAGGCTGGAGGCCCCCGTAGCCGGAAGTGCACAATGGGGAACACTTCCAACAACGCCAAACGGCCAGTCGCTCTTTTGTTTAATGATCAGGAGAGGAAGGGGGGGGCCATAAAGTCCCAACGCTCCCTCCCACCAGCAGGCTCAGGCAAACACTCCTTCCCCACCCACCCCAGGAAGATTCTTGGCTCCAGCCTGACTCTGCTCCTTGGAAAGCGACATGGAGAAAGGGCAGCGGAACGGGAAGGGGCAACTCGCTCTCGGAAAGAGGCCCTGCCTGGAAGACCCAGTCCAGGCCAGTCCTGGGTCCTCGCACAGACTTGGGCGAAGGAAGAGGGATAACTTCCCCCCTCTCCACCCCCAGAAAGGCCAGTATCTCAGAGGCAGAGTGAAGGGGAGGGAAACGGGCCTTCTCCCTGTGCCCCAAGCGCCCAGCTTCTACAGCGCCTATGATCAAACCTTTGAACCCAGTCCCACCCACCCCCGTAACCACTTCCAGATCCTCCAGACCCAGCCAAGAAACTGGCTTCTTTGGGGATTGAGTTCACAAGGAAATGCTGAAAAAATAAATAAAAATCCACACCAAACACATTCACAAGGGAAGATGGGTTTCTCTTGAGGCAGGAAATCCATCAGGATAGTCTAAAGCAAAAAGCAGGACAACACCAACACCCACGGGCCTAGAAAGGCCTGGGAGCTGCGCCAGCACCCCAGACCTTCGGCCAGCGCAGAGCATTTCCTCTAGGACCACTTCCTTCCCTCCCCTACTCAGACCCCCACATGTACATCTTAAGTGAAGATACTGAAGGCGAGAGCCTGCCAAACATGAATTCTAAGGGTGTGCAGTGGAGACGCCTTCCTCTGGCACCCCAGGAAGGTCAGCAGGGACTATGGAAAGACAGGGATGGTTCTCTTTCAGAGCAGCCAGGGGCAGCTGCAAGCAAGTGGCGTGGGATATGAACTCACCTGTCTCTCTCTTATCTACCTGCAGCCTACCAACCTCCCTCTCCACCACCTGACAGTGGCTTCCACCGCTACCAGTTCTACGTCTATCTTCAGGAAGGGAAGACCATCAACCTCCTTCCCAAAGAAAACAAAACTTGAGGTAGGGTCTCATCCTTCCTGCTGCAGCCAAGGTAGATTAAAGGGTGAAATTGAAGGCTCAGGCATCCGTGGGGAACTTGGGACTTGACACCCACTTATGAGACTTGGTGAGCAGGGTCATCGGGCAGCGTTTCTGAGGTATGCACTGAAACAAGGCCTCTAAAGAGGTATTGGCTTTAGATGTGGCCTCCTCTCAGAAGTAAGTACCCTAGACCGAGAAGCACCCCTGAAACCTTGCATGGCGTGTGCAGGCAGCTACCCTGCAACACCTTGGCCAGTAATTGTGCCTTATAATTGAGGCTAATCTGGGCAAGAGGGCACTGGAATGCCACCCTGCCTGTCTGTCTTCATTGGTGGGTAATTGCTTGGTTGGCCCTGCCATCTCCGTGGTGGGGCAAAGACTTCCTCAGCCACACCCCTTCCCCCAGCCCAGAAGAAACCCTCCTCAACTGGGCAAAGAACCCCTTCCCCAAAGCCTCCTACTGGCTTGGTTTTGGTCCTCCTGCCACCAAGACTGGGAAGAAGGAGGAGCTCTGGACCTGGCCACTGCAGCCCAGAGGTAACTCACTCCTGTGAGCCACATCTCCCCTTACTGAGCCTTAGATTCCTCTTCAGGAAAATGAGACATAAAATCATCTCTGCAGGCTCCATAACCGGCCCCACACTAGGAAAGGGAGGTCAAGGCGAATGCACAAATGGCAATTTGAGAGTACACAGTGCAAAGCCTCCAGGCGGTGAGGAAGGCGAGTGGGAGGGTGAATATCAGCAACTGTTTCCTCTCCCCCAGTGACCCTGACCAACCTCCACCCACTGGGAAGCCCGAGGCCCCAGAGTGTGGAGCCCAGAAAGGCACCGGCTCAGCACTAAAGCCCTTCAGAGCTGTGCCGAGGAGGGCCCACCAATCACAGAGGGCTTCAGGCACCCTGGGAGTCGAGTTAGTGCCACCTTTCCACCCATGAACCCAGGTGCCCTCCCCACCCTGCCAACGTGCAAGTCTGTTTGAACAGCTGCACCAAAGACACTCTTAAGTTCGGATACAAAGAGAAAAGGAAAGCCGGGTGTGATGGTGCATGCCTGTGATTCCAGCACTGTGGGAGGCTGAAGCAGGAGGATCGAAAGTTTAAGCTCCACTTGGGCAACTTAGCCGCTTAGCAAGCTCCTGTCACAAAGTAAAATATTTTTTAAAGGCCTGGGGATATAGCTAAATGCAAAGGGCCTGGGTTTAATCACCAGTGAGAGAGAGAGAGAGAGAGACAGAGACATAGACAGAGTTCTCCACCATCCTAGGTACCAGTCTCACCAAAGACACAAGGAAGCTCCTCCCACTAGTCCAGGGGCCTGGGGACTGAGCCCTCCATCTTCCTGGAGGAGACTCATTGGTCAAGGTATTACCTCCTGAGGTCTCCCCAAATCCCCCCTCCAGAAAACACTGTGGCTCTGCCTGCCCTGCTAGGTCACTGGTGGCAAGAAAGGAAGCTGGAAAACTATCAGGAAAACTATCAGGGCTGAAACCATTATTCATCCCTTTGAATCTTTGTCAAAACACCATTCCCTGTGCCTGTGTATGAATATCTGTGCATGCACATGACACACACACACACACACACACACACACACACGACCCACCTTCCATCCACATAAAAGTTCAGGCACTGGACTTATATCTGGGCAGAGTCCCTTGAACTCCTCTGCTGTTTTGTTTGCTGCCAGAAAGAAAAGTAAGAAAATCACCCTCCTGGATAAAAGCCCCAGCCAAGGAACCAGCCCTCTACTGTGACCACTTCCATATACTCATCCTGTGCTGGGGGCTTCAGAGAGGAATTCCCTGCCCTCTAGGAGCTTACAGTCTACTTTTGAACCAATTAAATAACAATACAGAGCAGCTTGTAATTAAGCATTTAATTGTGTGGTTCTGACTATCACCATGTGTCAGAGTTGGGGACAGATCCCTTCCCTTCTCGGTCCCAGACTCTCCAGGACTGCACGCCCTCTTCCTGCAGGGTGGGGAGACCTTTCTTCCTCTCTCTAGCCAGTGATGTGACTTGGAAACAAATCTGCCGCTGGGCCTCAGTGTCCTCTAGAAAATGAGATGACCATTTGCTGGTGATCTGCAGATCTCTGTGGCCCAGGGCCTCCGTGGAGAAGCTGGGCCCTGCCGAGGAAGAAGCCTGAATCCTCAAAGGGAGGAGGAGGAGGAAGCCCCAGGCTGGGAAAACTAAAAATGAAAAAGAAAAGGGGAAAGAGAAAACAGAGGAGGGTTGTAAAGGTTCTCGAATGCCCAGGACTGGCATGCTTGGTAGACCATACGGAGTCACTAGACACAACACATGGAGGTTGCTCTTTAGAGATGCCCAAACTGAGTGACCAGAGACAGAAGCCACCAGGGCCCTGCAGTGTGAAGCAGTGAGGACCTGGCATGGATGAGCCCAGGGTGATTGCAAAAGCAGCGGTGGTAGTGCTTGAAGCAATCCTGGTGCGCCAAGTCCTGGCAGGCTCTGCAGCACCTGGACAGTGCTCGGAGACGCGTGAAGCCCCGGGCTAGACTGACACTCTGAGGGCACAGGGCCCTGCCAATGAGCACAGGCCCCGGGGACAGAGAGGGGATGTAACCAGCCTCTGTGTCCCCCAGAGAACAGGCTGCAGGGGAAAGGGCAGGCTGTAGGAGCCAGGTAGACGGGCATTATGCAGATGGTTAACTAGCCACGTAGTGGGCCATTGTAAGAACACTTTGTCAAGCAGTTTTGAAACCGGAGTAACCTAAAGGTCCCCAGTGTGGTATAGAGTTCAATTTGCTGAAAAAACATGGTGGAAAACAAACCTTTGAAGAGTCATGTTCCTGTCCAGTTCAGTCTCCTGCCCTCCCTGGCATCTGTGTGTGAATGACAGCTGAAAATTAGTGTAGTGGACCCTGCCTGACCAGGTAAACAGGTGACAGGGTGGTCACCTCTAGAGCCAAGGGGAGAAGACCTCCCCAGAATTCCTCTCAGTTGTCTAACTCAGGATGAGTACATGTGGTGGGGAAATGAAGACTCCTTGACATTCATGTGACCTTGGACAAGCCACCTCACTTCCCTGGGCCTCGATTTCTACCTTTCCACAACAAAGGGTCGGACTGGTTGTTCTACAACTAGACGATCTGGAATGGATTTGCTCCCTACTTGGTGGGCCCTTCTTGCCTCTGAGCTCTGAGCTCTGCCCCATGAATGCAGAAAGCTGACCAGGCCGGACCCACTGGCAAGCCCCAGTCATGTGTGAGGCTTCCCAGCAGGCTTCCTTCTGGGTACCCAAGACCACAGCAATAGCTCAGAAGGGGGTTCGGGCTACCCCTCCTCTAGCCCCGGAAGTCCTGCCCCATCACACCACTCTCCCCAATTCTACCACCCTTCCTGCCTCAGCATGACTGGCCAGTGCCCTCCCCAGGCCCTCGGATGGGACCTTGGGTAATCATAGGATGGGGCTGGGTGCTGGCAGGCCCAAAAGGAGCCCCAGGCCCTGCCCTCACGTATGTATGTGTCACCGAGGCATAACCCAGGGGAGCTGGCACGCACAGGAAGCATCAAGGAAGGTATTCAGGTGGCTGAAGCAGAAGCAGGACCCCATGGGCAGAGGCCCTGAAGCCAGGAAGCCTGAGTTGCCGACTCTGACAAGGGCTGGCCTAGTTTCAATGACATTGTCCGAAAGGCCACACTTTGCCTTCCCAGATTCGAGCTATGTTATCTCAGGCCTGGGATATGCTGGATTTCCACCTGCTTCCCAGTGAGCCACTCCTTCCAGCTGTGCACTATGAAGCAGGCAGGCGCACACAGGTGCACACACACACACACACACACACACACACACACACGCACTCCCAAGGCCCCAGATCCGGCCTCTAGGCTCATCGTGACTCTCCATGCTCTCCTTGCATGTTTTCCCAGTGGCAGCCTTGCATGCATCTAGAAAGACTTCTAGATTCTAGAGGAACCAACCAAAGGGATTACCTACAGGCAGACTTCACATGCCCCTCCCACACTGCCAAGGGGTCCCTTACATCCTGTTGTTCACTAGTGTATGCCTGCCCATGATTTGTCCCTGCCTACTGATCCAGGTGAACCATTCTCCCCTCCCTCCACTCAACCCTGGGATGTGTTGCCCATGTTGCAGGAACTGACCCCCCTGCAAGGCTCCCTGATGCTCTGCCCACGTTGACCCCCCAGGGCTGGCCTCTCTCAGCCAAGTCTGGCCCTGCCCTCTCCTATTACTGTCCTTGTCCCTATATCCAATCGCCTACTTTCTGTTGAACTTTCTCCGGAGTCTGCTTGTGTCTCTTTTGTGTTACTAAATTGAGTTTCACTCACTCACATCACCCTGCTTCCACCGTGACACTATAAATTCCTTGAGAGAAGAGCTCACCTCTGTCTTCCTGCCTTGTATCACCCGTGGCTGGGCCCAAGCCACCTCAGGCTCTTGGTCAATGAGTGTATCTGTGTGTTCTACACACCCACACACACACATTCACAAGTCATTCATACACAGACAGATCCGAACATTCTCACACCCCCACGTTCACAAACACACATCAACTTCCTTCAGCACCTGAAGAGGCTGCCACCTCATACCCACAATGACAATCTCCACATCATTCCCTCCCTGTCCCAACCTGGGTGGCCAGGGCCAACTCTCCTCAACCTTCACCTTGCCCCCTCATGTCAGGTGGGCAAGACAGCAGCCAGCATCTTCCAGAGCAAGTGAGGAAGCGAAAACCAGAGAGACAAACACTGAGTGGCATGATTGGCAAAAGGTCTGCAGTGAACAGCAGATGAATTTCCTTCTGGTGCCTGGGGAAGGGTTCGTTCCATGTCCCCAACATCCATCTAGACCACCACCCTCGTTTCAAGGACAGAGAGGGGACAACTGCGTCCTGCTGCCCTGAGCCACAGTGGTCCATTCTTCCCACAATTCCCCTTCCCAGTGAAGGCCATGGCTGAGCCCAAAGCTCCAGGGAGCCATGGTCAGTACCTTGCCACAGCTCAGCCACCTCTCCCCAACATGTCACAAGCTGGCC